TATGTGCACATACTGTAAACTTGCACCAGGCACAGGAGCTGCACAGGAGCGGTGGTTAGAAAAGGGTGTGAGAGGGTAGGTAAGGATAATGTGTGTGTGTGTGTGTGTGGGTGGGTGGGTGATTAGATGCAGGGGGTTTGGAGGGGTTGAAAATCAATCGTTAGGAGACCCACTTCCCATCCCCATTGCTGCGGCAATGCCGAGATTCCATCAATGAGCCAGGGCTGCGTTGCCCTGGCAACGCTTATGAATGAGAGCAGGTCGGTAACCGTGGAGACTCGGCGAAGAGAGGATTCGCCGGTTGCCATGGCAATGCCATGAGCGGGGAGAGACCAGGCAAAGTGAAGGTGGCGAGTGACCTCCGAGATGTTCATCATCAATCGCTATCATCATCATCACACTGGTGTCCCTCTGTAGAGACAGAGACGACAGGATACACACACCTCAATGTTTTTAGATCTTGCTGGTAGTTTTCGACTGCTTTTGAATTTTTTTGTGTTGATATGTTGAAACTCTTCTTAATGTCAACAGTGGGAGGACATTTGGGGGTTTAAGGGAGCTATAAAGTAGTGTACCTTTACCAGCAATAAAAAGCTACGAATAAATAAACAGTAATATTAGAAAAAGTTGTCATAATGATAAATATAACAGCATGATTTTATCATGCTGTTATATTTATGATTACAATATACAATATACAATACAATACATTATGCTTTATGCTATGTATTTAAAAAAAAAGTAATAATAAAGAATGGGTGTAAAGTTTTGAGGTTTAAGTTGTATACTCTACTACTTTTTATGACAGGGTTTTCCTTTTCAAAGTGACTGCAATGACCAAAAGTTGACCATCTAATCAATCAATTCATATATTACATGTTCATATGAGTGATATGTAGGTGATAATGCACTACAACTCCACCACGTGCTATCTTTGGACTCCACCCTGACCATTATTTTATATATGTATTAAGATGCCTCATTGTGCATTAGCGCTTATTGTAATTGATATACAGTTAGAGAAAGAAGAGTTCATGGGGAACACAGGAAAATGAACACACTGCTAGCATATTATAGCACAGTTTAAATTGTGTGTGTATGTGTGTGCGCTTTACAGGTTGATTGTTAGGTGTTTCCCAGCAGTGCGAGCCTCTGTCATCACTGTCCAAACACCTTCTCCCTCTGCAGATAAAACTCTCCCTCTCTTCCTCCCTGGAGTCTCTCTCTCTCTCTGTGCCTGTCTGCCTCTCTCTCTCTCGTTGGGGTTTCTCTCTCCCTCAGCAGTTGAATCTCACACTTTTGACACGCAGGACTATCACTCTCTTTCAATCTGCTCACTCTTTCTCTCACTCCGCATCTCTGAAGGGATGCTCCATCTCTTCCGTCTCGGTGTGTATTTCATCAGGGACCCTCATCTCTAGTGTCAAATAGTCTAATAAGGACAAATATCTGTCTTTTGAAAGAATGTTTTAGTAGGTTTTGGTCACTAAGTGTGGGCTATATGTCGAAGCTTGAGAGAAAAGAGGAAAATTGTGGGAGGCAGTTTTTAATTTAAGGAAGACAGTGGTGAAAAGAAGCAGCCCATGTGTGCTTTTCTCACGTGACAGCTATATGTACTGTATTGGTATCACAAATATGAATGCATACTACAGAGAGAGGTATGCATCTTCTGACTAGATGCAGGTTCAGCTGTGCTAGCATATCGACAATTAGCAAATGAAGCCAGTAAATAGAATGTCAAACAGCCTTCACTGAAGAGATAACATAACTAATAGTAGCCTATTTGGAAAAAGTAATTAACTTTAACAACCTAACCTACAGAGGAACGCTTACATTAATGAAGCTAGCTGAGTTGTTAGCCTCATGAATGTGTGTTTAATACTGTAGTCTGCCATAATTAGCCAACTACATGTTTTCTTTTCCCCAAATTTCCAAAGTCTTCAACACTGACACAGTGTCATGATTATATGTTTATGGTTTGTCATCTTTTACAGCAATTAAACCATCTTTAAAACCTGATCATTTCCATGTCAGTCACTCACACAACAACACAACTCACACAGTTTATTTAAGGTCACTGACACTATGGTTAAAATTGGGTGTTTCAAGAGTTGAGTGATTAATGTTTTTTTTTTCTTCTCTTATCCAATAATGGTACCTCCCCACTCTTAGAAGATTAATGTAAAGGTCATGACAATATCAAATCAAATCTGATTATAATAGTCATAATAATGATCATACGTCACTCCATATCCTTATTCAACCTCTTTCTCTTGCCATTTTTTTCCTTTTCTGCTACTCTTGGTGGTTTTCTCCCCCACCTTCCACTTAACTCCTACCTGTTCCTCCTTTACACTCATGTTGTTGTTCTCACTGTTTCCCTCATTTCTCTCCTAACACCCCACCACGCCCCTCCCCCTCAATCTCCATCACAACCAGCAGCACAGTCGCTGCTCCCTCTACCGGCCCCCTCAGTGCACTGTGGGCAGGTTGAGCCGTTGCCAGGGGTGACTGCATCCTGGAGGTTTGGGTTGTCTGGCAGAAGCGGATGGTTGCCGTCTCGCACAGATGAAAATTTAAGCTCCGCATTCGCCCTCAAATCAGATGTATGAGAGAAAGAAAAAGAAAAGAAAAAAGCAGTGAAATGGGACAAAAATAAACAGCAAGCAAAAGGAGAGAAAATGAATGACAGAGCGACGGAAAGGAAGAGAAAGTCAGAATTTAGATTCAAGATATCAAAACAGACCCTTTGCTCTTTTGCGTCTTCCCTCTACTCATCCATGCGCGAATCCAACTCTGAAACTGAAAATGCACCTGAAGCTTTAATGGTCCCAATGGGGAAGCAGCAGCTAATAGTAACAAGATAGAAAGAAAAATAGTAAATAGACTCAAAATTAGAAATGTCTATTAGAAAAGCCATGGTTTGTGAGAATGTGAACAAAAGACTTAAAAGGTAGATTTTAAATTCAAACTACAACCATAGATCCTCTTGTGTGCTTACACAGGGACCATGTAAGACTATAATCTATATGTGTGTCCTGTTGGATCTTTACTAGACCTGAGGCTGTTTGCTTATTTTGCTGAGGTCCAGTGTTTTCAGGTCTGCAGCAAGGCCTTTAGCCGTGGTAGTTAAAAAGCCATTGAGGGAATGAGGGGCTTGGCTGCCTGTACCATGTCTGTTAATAAATGACCTCTTACTGGAATTAGCAACCAACCTGGAGAGAGATGGAGGAGGGGGGTGGTGGGGGTGAAGACGATGAAGGATAGAACAGAAAGCGGGATGGAGGGAGGAAGAGATGCCGAAATTGAAGAAGTAGCTCAATTCATATTCACTTCCTGTGCCCCGCTTCCTATTTTTCAAAGTCGCTTGAATCTGTTTCTTTCCCATTGGCTTTTCTCGCTTTCTTTAGCTGTTAGTGTTGCTATAAGTGGTTAAATCGCATTTACTTCTGTTTACTTACCTTATGGTTGGAATCCACAAATCATACGACACGATCAGGAATACTTGATGGGAGGGACTGCTCTCCTTTCTGTGGGACAGATTTTCTAAGCCTTTTGGCACAAAAGGCATTCTGCGAACACGTGCAGATGCCTAGAAGTGCAGTTTGCCAGGCCTCTGAGGTGCACTCTGTGTGACAGCAGTGAGGTGCATCTCTTCCGTAATTGCAAATGCATTTGAGGGTTGAGAAGCTGCACAGAGTTGGGGAGAGATATGATAAATGATGATACGTGTGACTGATTACACATTCTGTTGGATAAGGTTTGGGCATTTGAATGGCCAAGTTTTGTATGGAAATTGTTGTCAGTCCACATAGCACAGGTGTATTAAAAAGAGAGGAAGCAATGGTAGAAAACTGTAATTAAAACCATTGTATTGCACCTACTAAGGTATTCTACACTTGGAGGTGTAGTCCCAGGCACCGCATACTGCTGCCTTACGTAGTCAAGCATATATGCCAATTGCGAGCACAAATTTCCCTTGCATTTTCATTTTCAGGTGTGTGTAAGGACAAATAAATATATCCTAAGCGCAGGAAGTGGTCAGTCATAATCACGTTGGCATCTGATTAGTGCTGTAGTTAAAAGAGCTGCCAACACACTAAATTGCTAAGTGCAACTGCAAAAAATATACAATTTTATTTTGCCTGATTTAAGGTCAGAGTCTGCCCATGTATTGTGCTCCTCCCCTTCGTTTCTCTCTCTCCTCCTCCTCAGAGCATCCCCTCTCTACGCCCCCGCACTTCCCCCTCCCCCTAGTGTTGGACAGACCCTGCCTTCCGCCCCCGTACAAGACAGAGCATGGAATTTTCCAACCTGTCTCTGGCTGACTTTACACCAGAGCTTCACACACACACACACACACGCTCACACACACAATATAGAACAGGAGGTGCGTCTCTGCAGCCAGGTTAAAGATGGGCAATGTGACAGTAGTAGCAAGAGCCATCATACTGTTACTGAATTACCAATTACTACAATTATTCTGTTTTAACTGTCAATTTTAACCTTAGTTATAAGGTACACATTCAATCTACAACTTCACGTAACTACATTCTGTGTAGAACATGGAGTGGCAATACCATAGCTGTTCGTAACATTTGGGAATTTGACAAAGAAATCTCCACTCAAGGTCCACTTTCTCGTTTTGGATCACACGATCAAAATAACTGCATTAAACAGCAGATTGACTTTGCTGGAAAGTTTTACAGGTAGCAAGTTGGTAGGTATACAAGGTTGCCTGGTTTAAGTTATTTTGGTGTGTCCACCTTCATTTGTCTTTGCTCAACATGCCAATGTCCGTGAAATATGGGTCAGAAGTTTAGGTATTCTGTGCTGAGGCAGTGTGTTAGACGATAATGTTGCAGCTATAAATCAAATGATGCAGGCTGTGACAAGCATGTTTTAGCAAATGTGATTAATTAGAAAGACATAACCTGTTGCACTTATTTTTGTTCTGATGTCTCCATTGTCTCTCCCTCCCTCTTGCTGTCCCTCTGCAGTATTTTGTCGTCTGTGGGTTCTCAGCTTGACCTGAGGACACTGCGAGCCGTCAGAGTGCTACGGCCACTGAAACTGGTGTCAGGGATTCCCAGTAAGTTTGTGCACACTGCCTTGTATGCTTTAACTACAGTAACTGCAGTCTCTGTCATATATTATTATAATATATATATTGTCAGTATACTGCTGTATTCCACCTTTTTTTTGATCGTTTTTGTGAACTGTTTCCTCCAGGCCTGCAGGTGGTGCTCAAGTCCATCATGAAGGCTATGATTCCCCTGCTGCAGATTGGCCTGCTATTATTCGTGGCCATCCTCATGTTTGCCATCATCGGCCTGGAGTTCTACATGGGAAAGTTCCACACTACCTGCTACGACGAAGTCACACGTAAGAAAAAAATATAAATTACATGTGGCCTCTCAAGTTAAGACTATCACTGATAGAGTTGTCTCTGGTTAGTTTAACCACATTTCAATGTATTGTCAATGGCACTAAAGTCCAAAAGGCAACCCTTTTTTACAGCAGATATTTTGACTTCATTGCAGGAAAAGCATACATGTAGCTAGAAATGAATAGTGTTAATAGTGAGTCAGCTTATACGACGGCTAGCTGCACGGGCAGTTATAATTAGTTACTTTGTCCATCAGTAAATAGAGTTTAGGCAGAGCAGCCAGAGGACATCAGAGGAAATATTGAAGAGCCAACCCTTTCTGCGAGACATACTGAACCACCTCCAAAAACTTGAGCGGGAGAATCGGCGTGCCATTGTACTTCGTGGGCGGGCTGGGCCTGGAGCAGATAGCCAATTAAAGAAATTCGTCACAAGCCGACATCAGCTCATTGCACAAGAAAAAGAACGTCGGAACCCTAATATTCAGAGCAGTTTTCACATGTTTATCTCATTATTTGAAACTTTGGCCAGGTTTAATGTGAACATCTGACATTGTAGCATTATATATATATATGACAGAAAATAAGGAAAAGCATAATAGGTCCCCTTTAATGTGCAATAGTACCACGTGTGCTTTACTAATTAAACTATTTGGCCTATTGAGCCCCACCGTGCACAATACCAGGGCCCTGAAAATGGCACACCTGTGTGAAACGCATCCTTTGGTAATGTTGTTAATTACACCTGTGTTTAATGTGTCAAAATGTCCGCTGTGAGACAGGTCTGTCAGTTTGACTACACTACCAGCCTTTTGGATATGTAACACATGATTGTTAAAAGTTTGCTTTCTAAACTCCTGTGGCATTATTTCATTCTCTCTTTCCGTCTCTCTCTTTGATCAGGAGAGGTAGTGGACGAATTACCATGTGGCACAGAGTTGCCGTCCAGGTTGTGTCCTAATGGCACAGTGTGTAGAGGTGGCTGGCTTGGACCAAACTACGGCATCACCCAGTTCGACAACATCCTGTTCGCCGTGCTCACCGTCTTCCAGTGCATCACCATGGAGGGATGGACAGACATGCTCTACTACGTACGTTAGCCTGTCCAGGGAGCCAAACGTAACATTTAACAACATGTAGTTTAGTTTACAGTCCCACCCCTACCCATTATATCTCTGGCCAACAATGTCCTGTAATTGAAAAGTAAAGTCACATGTTCGCAGTAGATAGCAAACTAGCTAAAGCAGGCATCTTTCGCATATAAGCTAGCTAAAGCAGACATTCTTCGGATATCTTTTTACACTACAGTCATTTTATTTGGATTGGACATAAAATTCACTTGACTCACACATCACCATGAAAACACCAGAATATTAATAACAGCCTTAATTTATAATTCTTGTAAAACACATTGGCTACTGCTAGCAACAAACTAACTAGCAGCATCTGTTGATTATGATCAAAAATGTTAACTTGTTTAGCAGACTTTACTGTAGTCACATATACCCAACATACACATTTGAATTGAAACACATTTTCAATACAGTGTTATAGTTTGTTCAAACATACATTTTTACTTAAGCTACGCCAATCTTATTGTAGATATGGGTTGCTAGTTATGCTATTGATGGCAACAGAGAATCCGCCTTCAGTCTTATCGCCCTTCTCACAGTTATCATAGTGGTGTTCTCTCTGTTCTCTGTTCTCTGTATTAGGTTTGTACTGTATGTTTTTTAGCACACTGAAGGGCTCGCAGGGGTGGGTTGGTGTGCAGGCTGATGATTGGCTTGAATTTCATTCAGCTAAATGAGGCATAAAGTAGTTTGAGATTTGATTCAAAACACCATTTATTTGTCCAAAAGCCATTTTCCATCTCCATCTCTCTTTATCATTCTCTGTTTGACTTCCTTTATCCGTCTTCTCATCTGTCCTTTTGCCTTCGGAGTCGCTCTCCTTCTCTCTCCGCCTCCTTCTCTTCCACTCTCTATTCTGGTCCGTCTCGCTCTATATTTAACATTTTTTCTGATGGATGGAGGCTGACTTCCACTCTCACACAGGCAGTCAGAAGGAAACCAATGAAAGTTTAATAGAGAACGGGCTGCTTGCGCTGTACCGTGCAGTATAAAACCTAACAAATGCACACAGCACTCCAGCAGCAGATAATAATCAGCTGATAGTTCCATTTAGGCGTTACACGGGTTACAGAAACACAATATCCTTCAGTAACCTGATTCCTCTGATTGTCGGCTGAGTTCGTTTAGTGAAAGAAGGAAGTGACACAGTGTCAGTCAGATTTGTTGCTGTTGGTGTGCTAACCAGACACCTCAGTGCGATCAATGCTGTGTGAAAGCTGGAGATGCTGTAACGTAACACAGTGTGTGTGTGTGTGTGGAGTATATCTCGGTGTTGCTGTTTCTGCACACAAATGCAACATCTCTGCATCCAGCACAGGCTATAAGATAGAAAATGGGTCACTCCTGAGCCAGCATAATCTACATACTTGAGTTCTCCTTGGTTCTTGTGCAGTCCAGAGAAAAGTTGCTAACATCATTTCAGCCTTAGTTCACATAACACAGACACACTGCCTAAAACTGCAACAGCTTCAAACTGACACAATAACATAACAAAAGATTCATTCATCATTTAGATGAATGAGTGACTATTAAAGGTACCGTGTTGTGTTTTTGACCACTGCTGGTGCTATGGGGTCATGTTATTAGGTGTGGCTCCCCACCGACTTCACATCACGTTGATGGAGTCACGCTATTCCACTGTGTGGTGGCAGTAATATGTCAACAACCATAGTTAATGTGCCAACAAAGGCAGTGAAGAAGACAGCTAGCGAGCAAACATTGATACACTGTAAAAAAGAAAAGGAAATGCATTCAACACATTTGTTAAAAGTTCAAGGATACACATAATGTATTTTGGTGAGAAGCTTTGTATAAAAATGAGTGTATAGCTTCTTTACAAGAAAACTCCACAGGGCACCTTTAACGTTGGACTGAGAAAGGTAGCCCGTGTCTGTCGAAGATAAAATATTAGAACAAACAGACGAGAATCTTTACACAAGAAAAGCAAAGGTGCAGTAAACGAGAACATTTCTGACCTTTCACACCATCATCACAGTAAACGACCATACAGGTTTTTATATATTAGATTGTCAGTAATGAGTCTGTCTGTGTCTCTGTCTGTCTGTGTGTGTGTCTCTGTTTTCTCTCTTGCAGAGTAATGATGTGGAGGGCAGTGCCTGGAACTGGATGTACTACATCCCTCTCATCATCATCGGCTCCTTCTTCATGCTCAACCTGGTGCTGGGTGTACTCTCAGGGTATGGACACTTATGTTCTTATGGTTAAACCTTCCTCCTCTTGTCTTTTTAAAAAAATAAAATACTATATACTCCTGTATACTTTGTGTAATTTGATGAGCCAAGCAAAATGGAAACAATGGCACATGTGCCCACAGTGAATTTGCCAAAGAGAGAGAGCGAGTGGAGAACAGGAGCGAGTTCCTCAAGCTGAGGCGACAGCAGCAGATTGAGAGAGAGCTCAACGGATACCTGGAGTGGATCTGCAAAGCAGGTCAGTGCACACTGACAAACACACTCAGATACTGGCACACACTGACACACACTGCTCGTCTCCCGTGTACTATACAGTATGTGGGAAAACCAACTAAATCCTGATGCATCAGTGTGCTTACATTTTACTTTCTTATTTTCTTGTACAGAGGAGGTGATTTTGGCTGAAGATGACTCCACAGGGAACTTTGATGGTAATTGACCTTCTTTAATTGTGTGTATGTTTACTGATGGACAGAAAGCTGCATGCTAAGGACATGAGTGCAGCCAGTAAAAGTCAGACTATGAAGACAGAGCTACACAGAGAGTTGTGCATTCACAGTGACAGCTGGTATCAGGAGGAGATTTGTACAAATATCCTATGATGCATGTCTTGTCTTCAACGTTTCTTCCTAGAGGATAAATAAGAATACCAGACACTGTAGACTGCCAAAACATCTTTAAGCTAACTGTTATGTAGGACAATATATGACTAAGCAACTTCAGAATGTGGGATTTAGCACAATACACCTACAAGTGACAGACTGTGGGAAGGGTAAGATGCTAACATTTGAGAGATAGACAGATAAAGAAACAATCCTTTTTTCTCATGCTAGGTTCGAGGCGAAGGCCAACCATCAAAACCAAAAACAACAAGACAGAGCTGCTGAACCCTGAGGAAGGGGAGGACAACATGGGAGACGCAGTAGGTAAGAAAAACAGAGGGATGGGTAAGTGACAATTTCATGTCAGGCTTATGCATTATTGCAGTTAACAGTATTATTATTATTTTTATATTATAATCTTCAAAAATGATTGCATCACAGATAGGACATCTCAAGATAGGCACTTGATCTTCGTTCTGGTTTCCACACATGTTATGTTAACTTGTTTAACTCACAATTAATTCACAACTATGGAAATTCACCCCAATGAACTTTGACTGTTGTTTTATTGCGATTTGCAATAAAATCATATATCGTCCCATTCCTAATTTTGGTAATCTCAGGACCGAGTTGTGAAATGGAAAATACAATAGAAGAAAGTGGTGATGGCTCCAAACAAAGAATCAGTCAAACTCAACTATGTCATGTCTCCCTCCCCTCCTCTCAGGTTTTGCACGCTCCAGTATAAAGAGCGGTAAGGACGGCTCCAATTACAATAAAACGGAACGACGAATGCGATTCTTTATCCGCAAGATAGTGAAGACGCAGGCTTTCTATTGGACGGTGCTCTGCCTGGTGGGCCTCAACACCATGTGTGTGGCTGCGGTGCATTACAACCAGCCTGAGCTGCTCTCCGACTTCCTCTGTGAGTAAACACACACATGAAACCCTCGATATATACAGGTACATATCCAAACATACTGCACAGTGTATAAACAAACCCGCTAGCAGATTACACTATACCATGAACTACAGGAGCTTCCAGGAATCTTCTGAGATACTCAGGAACTTTGCACAACATTTTGACCCCTGGCTCCAGTTTTGGTTTCTAGCTTTGGGTTCTGGGTCAAGCACAACACTGAGACCGCAACAATAAGAGAACAGGAAGTCAAAACAACCTATGGCTGTGTCAATATTAGAACTTGGGATGGGATAATGTTAGTTCTGCTGAAATAAACGACTTGCCAACTAGTCTTAAAAAGCAATACTGAAGGTAAAATTAGAAATAAAACCTACAATATAACTTTATTTGCTAACATTTTCAGTGCAGCTGACACAAATGTTCTATGCAGTTTGATGTCTGGCATTTATTTTTAAAAGCATAGATGAAGTTTCCAAAAGAACACATAGGCTACATAGACGAAATTGATCCATTAATAAGGTGCAGTCAAACACATACACACACCGGTCTTGAATGAACATTTGCTCCATCTTTACTTCCGTTAAAGCCAGTGTGACAAAAGTGCATTTCCTGTTTTGACCAGTGTTGTGTTTCGTGTTTTTGTGTCTGCACAGTATGTCTTCATTATGTTCCTCACACCTGTGTCATCCCATCCTGTTTCAGTGCTGACTTTGGGACAGATTTGTTGGACTGATGGCAGATATGACCGTACCTTTATGTTACCAAATTCAACAGCACATCTACATCTGAAGCCAGAATATTTTTTAGTATTTTATTTAGTTTGGCTTTTCAGTTTATTCACCACTGCTGTCCACACACACCTCGTCCCAACCTGAATCATCTTTTTACACTTCAAATCTACAGTTTCCTCCTACACATGCAAACAACGCATTTAATTTGAACTCCTTTAAATAGCAGAAACATGTTGCATTTTCTCCACTAACCAGTATCTGGTCCATCGTCACCTTCTTTCACATCCTCCTTTTGAAGAAAAAGAAAAGAGTTTTTGTTCATTTTGGTGATAGGTGGTCAGCTTAACAGTATGATCACTAGCAAGTAAATACAGTAAGGTTTCAAGTAGGACACATAAATATTTACTATACTTTATTCATTGTTGTCTTTGATTGTGCTGTAAATAAAATCCAGTAAATTCAGCATGAGCGTTGTAGCAGCAAATTGTACAACATTTGTAGTAACTGTTTCACGAAATAAATATAGAAAGACTTGTATCAATGATATACAATGCTATATTTCACATATTCTTTATTTTAGTTCTAGGTGCAGACATGACCAGACATGCACACTCACATACACACACACACACACACACACACACACAAAGACACACAAGGCCCTCGATAGAGTCAGCTTGTTGGCCCTGGCCGCTGTCCAGTGTCATTAGCATATGAAGCTGTAGCTGATGGAGTCCATTCATCACCAGACTGTCATACACCGCTGGGCTCACACCACTATTGACTTCCTCTCATCTAACTCTCTCTCTCTCACTCTCTTTCCCTTCTTTCTGTTTTGTTTTTTCCTATCCTCCCTCACTTTCTTTGTCTTTTAATCTCACTTCTCCATCTCTCTCTTGCGCTTTTGTATTTCCTTCATCTACATTTGTCCTCCTCCCCCCTCCTTTTTTCAATCCACTCTTTATCTCTCTCCATGACCTCACTCTCTTTCATTTTCACCTTCCACTGTCCTCCATTTAACCCGCTCTCTGTTCCTGTCTTCTCATTTCTGCCTTCTCTTCCTCCCTCCTTTCCTCCTCTCTCTCTCCTTCCTCCCTCCAGTCTATGCAGAGTTTATCTTCCTCGGTTTGTTCATGTCTGAGATGCTGATCAAGATGTATGGTCTGGGCATCCAGCCCTACTTCCACTCCTCATTCAACTGCTTCGACTGTGTGGTGAGTGCACACACACACACACACGCTCACACTGTAACTGAGTGAAAAAATTAATTGCGCTCATAACTATCAGGTTTTGATGACAAATCCAACACTCCATTTAATCAACAGATTTGAGAAATAGATTTTTCTCATGTTGCCCTGCGACAAATGAACAATGAGCAGATTCAGCGCCGCGTTTCTCACCAATACATGTGCAATAACTGCGCATTAATTTGTCATGCTGACATTGTTGCAGAGGCTTATTGGCAGGTTACTTAATATTAAATGCTGATATACAGAACCTGGTAAAGTGTTACATATTGTGTTCAGTCAGCTGGCAACCAATGGAGGTAGAGACTCTCAGTGCATTTGTGTACAGTTCTCACCTAAAAAGTATTTGTTCTGGGATTTTTTGGCATTGAAGTTAGTATTTATTCATCAAATTTTGATAATGAGAACTGGAAAAGTCAGATTGTCTATTTCGGATCTGGTTACAAGTTAATAAATAAGGAGTCTGATATGCTTCTGCAGAGAATGCACATAGTAATTGAACATATGTGCCAGATTTTTAAAAAGCAAAAATATTCCTACAGTGTCAAGAAATCAAATGACTGGATCAACACACGGTTTCACATGCACAGCAGAAATTCATTTTTAAAATTATAATTCGTCAGAGCACTGATTGCCACAAACACCCTGAAAGTGCGCAACATGATCTGACTGTACTGTATTTGTTTGTGTGCCTCTGCAGGTAATCGTGGGCAGTATCTTCGAGGTGGTGTGGGCCACCATTAAACCAGGCACGTCCTTTGGGATCAGTGTATTAAGAGCTCTGCGACTGCTCCGCATCTTCAAAGTCACCAAGTGAGTCTTTCTCTCTGTCTCACACACTCTTACATAATGCGTGCATGTCCATAACTCAATTGTGCAAAAATCAGACGATTACGATAATGAGGATCATGATGAAAAACTGAGGTTGTGGTGCTGAAGAGATTTTGGTGTTTTAATTTGAAAATATTTTCACTGTTGAAACATCTAACCATTTTGGGGTTTTTGGCACTTTGATACTTGCTTGATGCACCCTTCAGGAGACATTTTACTGTAATTGGATTTGGCTCACGCACATTGTTGTGTTTGTTGGTCTTCTTTTCTTGCCATGATGCTGCTCATTTGGACAAATCTTATTACAATTATGACAATCTCATTGAAAATGAGCCTTGAATCATGAAACTATATTATTGCCACCAGAGTTTATTGTCAATTCTCTATACAGTTAGAGCTTAATTAGAGCTCTGACTCTCTCTGAACCCAGTTGGTTTTGACCAGATGGGACCAGATGTAACCTCCTCCATGTTAAACTGATGTTGGTATGAAGAAGGATGCGCTGATCAAAACTTTACTGGACTACAAATAGAATTATACTGTGGTGACAGTATTTGAAATAATGAAAAAAGTCAATACTAAATGGAAAATATCATAAAATATGTTTTATCATTTGTTTGCATTTGAATGCACTGGGCATTGTTTTTAATATTCAACATGATATATTATTGTTGGGGTTTTTTGCCAGACAAGTATCAAAATCAAAATAGTAGCTAATAATGATTATTATTAACAAAAATTTGGCAATATATTTTTTCCCTATACTCAATCCATATATCCACTGTAAATAGTTGAGATTTTCCTCCTCCTCCTCCTCTTCCTCCTCCTTAGGTACTGGGCACCTCTTCGAAACCTGGTGGTTTCTCTGCTAAACTCCATGAAGTCCATTGTCAGTTTGCTCTTCCTCCTCTTCCTCTTCATCGTGGTCTTTGCCTTGTTGGGGATGCAGCTGTTTGGAGGACAGTCAGTATCAACACAAACTTAGAAACAAGCTCACGTCGCTGTATTATTATTATTGGATGTGACTAATTCCTTTTCTTCTCCTCAGATTCAACTTTGAAGGCGGAACCCCTCCTACTAACTTTGACACTTTTGCAGCAGCGATCATGACGGTGTTTCAGGTAGGAAAGAGAGACAAAAATAAATGATGAAGGTTGTTCTCTGAACACAGATTCTTTTGTAAAACTCTGCTGTGGCATTCTTTTACATGTATATGTTCATTCAACACCAGGACAGTTACATTTTATAAACTGTGAGCTATCCCTTTGCTGAACTCATACTTACAAATCAAAGAATATTATTACTTTTACTTTACATTGTTTTGTGTCAATTGTTAATCCGAGTGAAACTTAATTATTTAGCCTCATGAATTGGATTGTGTGGTTTAAAAGTCTGTCTTTTTGCAAATGAGGTACCAATGAGTTACTGTATTTTCCAAACATGACAGTAAGCACACTCATACACACTCATGTACATGTTCGAGACAGCTGAAGCCCTTTTCAAGAGTGAAATTTAATGATGCCCATTGTTGTTGTGTCATCAGTTTGTCAGATGACTTGTTCAGTCCTGACTGCTGTCTCCATGTTTCTGTGTTCTCTCTACTCAGAGAGACAGACAGCTTTAGTAAAGAGCCATTTGTGTTGCTGTATTGTCGCGGAATGACTCAGAGGCCAGCTGTGTGTGTGTGTGTGTGTGTGTGTGTGTGTCTGACTCTGTATGTTGATGTTCATGCATCAGTGTGTGAGAAGTATCTTTAGGATTGAGGCATTGCAAAATCAGAATTTATATTTTATATTATATCAAACTGATTTACAAAAAGGGTTGTGATGGATTTAACGTATTATTTTCAGATTTTCAGACATGAAAAAGTTGTTTTGGGTTGTAGACATAGTTTTTCAACTTTTATGCTTGGGGTTAAAATGCACAAGTTATGCTAATTTCCTCATTCATTAAACAAACAAAAACAACAACAAAAAGTGGGCAAACTACTGAAGGATTACAGAGCAAATTGTACTTTTCAATTTCAAGTAAATACCAATAAAGTCCGGATTAATGTGACCAACCTGTTGTCACTCTGTAGATCCTGACAGGAGAGGACTGGAACATGGTGATGTACGACGGCATTAAGTCCCAGGGAGGAGTGAACGACAAAGGGATGGTCTTCTCCATCTTCTTCATCGTCCTTACACTGTTTGGCAACTGTATCCTGCCTGCATGCTCACACATACATATGTATACAGAAATGTACAATATGCATGCCTGTGAATATACACAGACAGACTTTTTGAAGCTTTCGCAATGATTATGAAATGTAGATGATGATTGGTGTCTTCCTTTTTGAACAATACAATTCTACTTCCTCTCTTTCCTCTAATTTTCCTGTCCACGGAACACATCTCTCTTTGTTCCTCTCTGCTCCTCCTTCTTCCTGAGAAACTGTCAGCTTCCTCTAAGGTCGTCCTGGCATCGATATTTCTCCTTAACTTCTGCCACCACAGACACTCTGCTTAACGTCTTCTTGGCCATCGCTGTCGACAATCTGGCCAATGCCCAGGAGCTCACCAAGGTACAGGATCAAACCCCCAAAAAAACATTCTCCATTTTATTTGAAGAAAAATTGTTTACCAGGAAGTTAGATTATGCCTTCAAATTATGTCAAAATTAATTTAGCATTACTGACTACAAAACAGACTTGATATCACTTGGCTTTGGTAGCTGTTTATATATATATATATATATATATATATATATATTTAGTGTGTTGAAATTTAAACCAGGATCAAGTGACTGAGATGATTATCTTCTTCTCCAATAGGATGAGGAGGAACAAGAGGAAGCAGCCAATCAGAAGACAGCAATGCAGAAGGCTAAGGAAGTAGCAGAGGTCAGCCCGCTGTCAGCAGCCAACCTGTCTATTGCTGCGTGAGTACACACACTCACATTCAAATGCCATACCGTGTGCACAAATATACTGTGACATGTGCACACACTCATCTAAAACATAAATACTTACAAAATATAAAATCTGCTTCCTAGAAATTACATTTGTAAAGCACTTAATTGTTTTTTAAACACACGCTGAAACAGTTATACCTGCCTGGAAAGACAACATTTGTCTGAGTGCACACTACATTTATTTAACGCAGTGGAGTCACACCACAGTGAAAGGTTCGCGTCCAGACTCCTGCAACAAAAGCTCTTCGGTTAACGTCAGGGAAAGAACGTGATTTCAGTTAAATGTTAATAAAAAGTCTTGTTTGAGTTTTGAATAATGCTGTAGTCAATATGTGTAGATAGTATTGCAAGATTGCCTTTTTTGGAGGGAAACAAATGAAACATTTTATTGATATGTTCAGTATCAACATTTCTGTGACTTGGCAGGTATGTTAATTACCAACATTTCCTTATTTTGTTAATGGAAAATGTCACTCAGTCAGCATTATGTTTTCCGAAAAACATATTTGCTGTTGTAAATTAGTTAAATGTAAACGTAATTAAACGTAAATGTAATTTCTAGGAGACAAGGCTGAATATATGTATGTATACAAATATATATACTTTTTATACATTTTACTGTACATGAACAGAAAATTACCCAAAAATGCACATGCGTATGCTCACACTGATATACAAAATATTGTCAGACACACATGCACACACACACACTCTCTCTCTCTCTCTTCCTCACTCTTTTTGAAAAACTGCGCACACACAGAAAGCACTGTTTCTTTCTCAAATCCGTCTTTCCTAACATTTAAGATTGACAGGCATTCATGTCCACGTGACTCACACACACACACAAACACCCACCATCACACTCTCCCCGTGCTCATCCTCTAAAACATGATTAAGCGATTGTTCTGAGAGTGAAAGGAACAGATTCAGGGCTTTGTGAAGTGAATAAGAGCGAGAGGCGGACAGTCTGTAAATTCTGCTCCTGGCAGCAGAAACGCCGACAATAGGACACATCAAAATGATTCCCACAAAAACCCTGCTGCTCCTTTAGAAGTCACCGGACTCTTCAGTCATTGTGGCGAGCCTTTGATGGCTAGATTAGAAGTTGGTGTGCTACAGCCGTGCTTGTCAATTAGACACTAACTTGTCAATCGGAGAAATTAGCTCATAAGCTTCCTTTCAATCACAGAACACATCATCAAATCGACATGCAGCACAGCACAGAGATTCTTGTATTTCATGTTTTTACACATGTATGTTTCCCGATGTATTTGGAGTCAAAAGAAGAATGACAGTACAATCAGCATTAACCCGCTGATTCAACTGTTTTGTTATTTTCAAAGCCTTTCAGATGAACAGCTCTGGTACAGTAACACAACATGGTGACACCCCTTCACTCTGTTTTTGGTCACATACTCACAAGCTCTTCTGCCAAGAGCTTGGAACTAGTTGGTTTTGGGACTAGTGAAAGACTGGTTAACATTTCTCATTGTCACATTATGTTTTTTGGGCTCGACATCTTCTAAAACATTCTGAGACATTGTATGTCTTCCTGACTTCTTGACAGACTCTGTCCCCAGTCTGCGTTAAAGATGTCTAAAGACGCTTTCCACTCATTTCTATTCTTTCTGATTTTACCTCCTCCATGGCAGCAAACATGATGCATGAGCCAACAGAAAACTCCTGGGGTTGAACTGGTTTTACGAGACACTTTTAAGGTGGACTAACTCTAGCAGATTCCATTATGATGGACAGATAGGGACCATGGATGTATTATAAGAAATGGATACTGGACTACAACAATGCCTGCATAAGTGAAAAGAAAAAAAATTCTCATCTCCTGGTTTGCTTCCACATTGTGTGGCTCATTAGTGTTTCTCCCCCAAGGCTGAGTATCCAGTCCTCATATAACATCCATGACAGACACTCACTAGGCTAGCCAGAGAAAGGATATAAACAACCCAAAATGCAACACTCTCTTAAAGTGACAGGTTCACTCTGTAACACAAAAGCTAGTATTGCTACATTCATAGAGAACATAAGCAGTTATGAATATGTATTTTTTTTCTTCATATTTATTATTATTCATATTCAATGGGAAACTTCTTTGTCTCAGCCATTTGCTCCTGCTTTGATGTAGTTCACAGCTCATGCTTCCTTCATTCACACAGTCTACTCAGTGTTACATGGTTTTACATTGAAATTGCAGATTCAGTATACCTTTATAGCCACATATGCTTTATTCATTTTTGTACTGAATTTCTTTCTTTTTCTTTTTAAGGGTATACTGTTACTACTTCCTGTTGCTGCTAATTTCCCACAGGCAGCTCACAGTCTCTATTCTCCCATCATCCTCCCCATCTCCACCATCACCATCTGTTTTTTTTTCTTCTTCCTCATCATCTCCTCTCCATTTCTGTTTTCCCATCTTGTTTTCTTCCCTCTCTTTCCTCCACTTTTCTTAACCTCCTCACTCGCCTTTCCACTTTTATTTCCCCTTTAAATCCCCTTTCCTCCTCCCCCATCGCACCTCCATCAACACCTCTCAACAGTAAGGAGCAGCAGAAGAACCACATCAAGGGCAACAAGTCAGTGTGGGAGCAAAGGACGAGCGAGATCCGCCGTCAGAACCTGATGACGAGCCGCGAGGCGCTCTACAACGAGCTGGAGCAAGAGGACTGGAAGGTGGGAGGGGAGGGAGAGGAGGTGAGGATCCCCCCCCCAAAAAAAACACACATATACACATATATATGCAGTCTACTCCTGATATATATGGTGAATATTTGTTGTAACGTGTGTAAAGTGATGTTATTGGTTATTTTAACAACTGAAAGGGACATTATCATCCATGTTCAGTTGGGGCTCTAGACATGTCTAGAACTTCAAATCATTTCACCTCCCCATCTGTCTCAGCCAATGAACAACTCTTGGCTGTCAATTGAAAAAGCTCTTTATTAAAAATTGGAAGTGACCAGATGCAATTTGATGTCAAATATCAACAGATATTCAGATTTCTTGTCATTTGTAGCAAGTGACATCAAAAATTACATACGTATGCGACCCAAGATATATATATATGTATATATATACATATATGTACCCAATATATTCCAACATTTTAAGGACAAAATGGACCTTAAAGTGTTCCCCAAGAGTTGAATTACTCATTCCATTAGTGATGCCGGGTGTGGACAGAGATGAAACAGACTTTTCAACAGTTCAACACTGCTTTTCAGCAAGTTACTCTTTAATTATGTTACAATTCAGCCCATATGTATGTGATGTGGTGTGTAGTGATCTACAGTGGAAACAACACCAGGGCCTGTCCTGCTTTTTATTACTGCGTATTCTGGGTCATGCTGCACTTTCACAGATGTTTTGATTTCAGGGTGTAATGTCCCTTTAAGCTTCTGAAAGAGTGTTGTTATTGCGCTAGCCGCTGCTATATGGGACGGCTTGAAGCTGTGTGCTTGGGAGCAATGCATTATTAAAGTGGGGCATGCAGAGAAATCCAGAGCTGTACCCAAAGAAGGCAGCGGACTCAAAACTGGAGCGGGGCGAAGTGTAATGCACTTCAAAAAGAAGATGATCGGGAGTCGACTGGATATGGCTCGGTAAACTGTATACCATTGTGCCATTTTATGGTTCTGGAAATGTTAATGACAATTTGCCAGAGCCAAAAATGGTGGCCTGTTTGTCGAACTGTGTATATCTGTGGCTCGGGGAGGGAACAGGGTGGGGGTATTGTGAGTTAGGTATAAACTGCCTGAATGAAGGTCACAGTTGGCTTATACTGTCCTTTGTACCAGCTTTGAAGCAAACTGCCACAGCAACCTAAAAACCATGCTCATGAAACTGTGATGTAATTTGCTGAGGTTAATGAGCCTCTGCTCCTTGAAAACAACAAATAAGAAATTTTCTTCATCATTGCAGCTATATGGTTTTTGTTTATAATTAGCAAACTGCTTCTCATTAATTTGTCCTTTCTGTCATTTAGTTGTGTAAACAACCTTAAAATGCATTATGATTCTAGTCAATTTTTGCATTGGGTCTTAATATTCCTGCCATCTGAAGGACTGCCTTTAATTAAACTATAAAATCATCATCTCATGTCCGATTTATATACTGTACATGTGACAGCTTGTGAATGACAGGAAGACAAAGTAAATTACAGCTAAAATTTCTAACAAGAAACATCCAAATTACAACTACATGACTCAGTCTCAGCAATTTCTTTGAATGTGGTGATGACAGTTTCTACCAATAAAAGAAAGGATATCCCATATATCATTATTAATTAGTGTGAATGTTTCAACATTTTTATCACCAAAGTTATCACCAACAGATAAACTCAACTGACTACATTTACTACCAACACTGATTGTAAACCTACACAAAACAAGGCAATTTCCCCTTAAAATTCCCTTCAATTCCATTGCATTGTGGTTGCATGAGACGCTTTGTAGTCCAATATCTATTGAAAACAAAACTATCATGCATGGCTAGATAAAACTTGCGGTAAGTAGGAAAAGCCCATGTGTCTGATGTTTTAGCAGACCCACTGATTCCAACTGCTACCCTATTACCCTGACCCAGGTGTCCTACCCACGGAAAGCACGCGGTGATATGAAGACCCACCTGGATCGGCCACTGGTTGTCAACCCGCAGGACAACCGTAACAACAACACCAACAAGACCCAACCTGGTGAGCTGCCTCTGGACCAGGAGTACCGGCGCCAGGACATTGACCACTACCACAGAGCCACACACTATCACCACCACCACCATCATCAGAAAGCCACAGGGCCAGACAGTGGAGGTACGGGCCAGCCAGCGGAGACCCGCATGGAGCGCGGCTTCAGCTGCACTTCTCTGGGCAACGTGGAAGGCCAGCAGGGGGAGGAGAGGCAAAGCCACAGGAGCCACCGGGGCCACAGGCACAGGAACAGGGAAGGCAGGGAAGCTCGGAGCGTGTCTCCCCACCAGAGTGAAGGGGGAGAGGGGAACAACGAACCTAGGAGGTCCAGGCAGCACCGCAGGGCAGCCAAGGAGGGGGAAGAAGGCAGGAGACACAGATCCAGGGGGACAGAGGGAGAGGGGGAGAAAGGAACAGAAGGGGAGGGACGGAAGACGAGACGGCATCGCCACGGCAACCAGGAGAGGAGCAGAGGGCATCGCACCAGAAAGTGAGTGAAGGAAGGGTTTATTTTCTCTGTGTAAATGTCTCAAATTACAACCTGGCTGGCATTAAAAGCCAGTTAAGTTTGTCTTTGTCTAAGAAATCAGGAAACGACCTGACACAGTAACTTTCCCAGAACATTTGTGTACTAAGGGCTCTTTGTGCATTCGTCATTGGGAACTCAACTGGTAGTTCATCACAAATGTATGGTTGGTTTTGTGATGGTATATAATGACTGTGTGAAGCTATTTATTATGGTGTCATTTTGAAGATTATGTGCTGGCCATCAATGTGCCTAGTGCTAACTGCTTATAGAGTAAAAAAAAAAAATCAAAAAAAAAACAGTTCTTTCACTTGGTGTGTCAAGTTGGTTTTTATCTACTTATGGTAATTCACACTTCCCAACATGGATTTAATGTACCATTGCTTGAAGTCTTCCTCACGTTGTTTTTTTTGTTGTTTTTAAATTGATAACGTTTGGAATATGAGGAATGGGTGTGCAGAGCACATTTAAGAAATATTATGCCAACTAGGGTTGAGAATCATCAAAAAAAATAACACTATAAGTCAGTTTTATACATTAATTTTTGTATATTTCTTGACATATATGGTTATATGTTAGTGCCTAAAGCTAATTTTTCCTTCCCAATGTCTCACACGAATCAAATGGAAGGCCATTAAATGAGGTCTTGAAGTATTCGGTTGTCTTATCCCTATATATGACTTTCCAAATGAAAATAATCTAGTTTTTCTGTTGTTAATTTTGGGTTATTATGGGTAATTTTAGGGTATAGTTCTATATTATTAATTTCTTCTAGTTTTTTTTGTGACATGTGAGTCGCAATAAAGGATGTCATGATCGGTCTAGTGTCCTAAGGTTCTGTGGTGAACTAATTAATAGGGTTGGTTCTAACAGTATGGGAATAATGGTGCACAATCTTTGTGACATATGGTTCTCATAGGTGTTTTTGAAAGATATCTCCATCTACGGTAGGATCCCTTGCTTCCATCTGCTACCCTGTATTCCTTTTTTTCTGTCGTTGTTTTGTGTTGTTTATTCACGGTGGCTGTTTGATTCTGAGCTTCTGGTTTTGTGTCATCTCTCTTTTGGTGGTCTCTCATGCCCCCTCCTTCGTCAGGATCACCACAGCACCTGTCCCAGGCCTCCACCACACGACCATTTCAGCATACAAAACCGGAGGAATCCTGGGTGAAAAAAAAAAAAACCCCAAAAAAACTTTTTTTTCCCCCGGGGGTTAAGTAATAACAAAAAAGCCCAAGCTTTTTGGCCCAATAGTTGGGGGCCCCCAAAAATGAAAGTCACCCCCAAAAATAAAAAAACCGCCCTCACCCACCCCGGGATCCACCCCAAACCCCAACCCTCCCTTTGTAAAAAAACCCCCACGGGTGTTCCCAAACCAAAAATACTTTTTTGGGTCCTAGTAAGCAAAAAAATACCCCTCGCCGGAAGCCGTGCATCCCGAAAACAAAACCCTACCATATAACTCCTGCCCGTTTCCGAGTATAAAATACCAGCAAATGGACCAGTTCCTTTTTAAGTCCTGGAACTCCAAAGCAATGGGCCCCCCCCCCCCATAAAAAACCCTTGGAGTTACAACAATAAATAGATAAGGGACAGTGCCCCCCCCTTCCCCTTTTGAGTCCCTTTTTTGAACCCCCTAATATATCTCTCCCCCCCTCCCCCCCAAACCTCAAAATTTTGGGCCTCTATTTCCTTGGCCCCCAAGTGTGAGCCCCAATCCCCTCAACCCCTATGGGGGGGGGAAAATTCCCAAGGTCCCCCGTGTTATAACCTGATAAGGGTTTTTAAATAAAGTTTAAGTTTTTTTTTTTTTTTTTTTATTTATTGGGCCTTTATTTTGAAAGGGTTTTTTTTTGTTGGTGGTTCCCACACAAAATGTTGTTCCCCCTCTTGGGGTATATTTTGCCTGGCCAGTAGAACAATATGAATGTCCCCTATAGTTATATGCAAATTGTTTTTTTTGTATTAAGCTTTCATAAAAAAGTTAATATATACTTGGGATCCCGCTATCAAAAAATTTATTTTTTTTTTTGTTTGGTTGTAGACCTCATTAATAACCCCTAATCTTTTTTTAAAAAAAATTCTTCCCCAAATATTTATTTGGCCCCCCTTTTTTTTCCCCCCAGTAATAAGCAACAAGGCCCTTTTTTTTTCCCCCATTTTTTAAACATTTTTGTGTTTTTTTTGTAAAAATTTCCCCCCTCCAAAAAGAACCAAAAAATCTTTTTTTGGAAGTAAACTTTTATTTAACAATGTGTATTTGGGTCAATAACTTTTTTTGGGATGTTTAAAATTTGGTGCCCCCAATCAAACTTTTTTGTTTGACAGAAAGCCTAAAGAGCATTTAGGGGCCCCCCTAAGCAAAAATAAAAGTAAATATCTCCTATTAATTATATTGTTCCAGTAACCTTTTTCTTTTTTCTTTTTTTCCCCCCAAAACCAAACCCCCTAAATTTTAATGGGTATAAAGTTTTTCCCACCGCCTCCCCATGAAAAAGGCCAAATTGTAAACTGGTTTAAACAAAAAAATTGTTAAAAAGAACCAAAGTGTGTGGCAAATGTAACCCCCCCCCTTTTTTGTTTTTTTTTTTTTTAAAATATCAAATTTTTTTTTTTATTTTAACTTTGGGGCCCCTGTTTAAAAATATTAACCCTTGTGGTTTTGGTAAACTCACCAATTCCCAAAAGTTTTTTTTCTTGTTTTTCCTTTGAAAACCAAAAAAGTTTTGGCCTTTCCCTAGAATTCTGTGTGGTTTTGTTTTTTTTTCCAATGGGTTTTTTTTTTGTTGTTGGTTTAGCCTTTGTGGTCTTTGTCCCCTCCTCAAAAATCCGTTTTGATAGCCTTGAAAACCTTCACCCCCCTTTTTTTTTCCCCCCTGTTCCTGTGTTCCCCGCCCCGGGTTATGTTTTGTTTGGTGGGTTCAGTGGGGTGTTTTGTTTTTTTGGGGTTTTGTTTTTTTGTTGTTTTTTT